ACACGCGGTGCACGTTGATCAGGGTGTGGAAATGCGGGCGGGTGCGATATGTAGGCGGTACCGGACGAGAGTAAAGAAGACCAAGGGGTGGCGGAGAGACATGGGGAAGGGTGGGAGGGAGAGAGAGAGAGAGAGAGAGAGAGAGAGAGAGAGATTAAGCCAGGCCAGATGAGCGTGGATCCCATGAGGAATGTGACATGACACATACTGGTCACGATCGACGAGCGAGTTTGCATTCTCTTCTGCGTGTGGAACTGACGCACCATACTGCCAGACAACAACAACAACAACAACAACGACGACGACGACGACGACAACGACAACGGTATCTCTGCACGTGGCGGGCTGACTAAAAAAGAAGCGCGGACCTCAAGTATTCACACCATCACGAGAGAGCCAAACACACCAACAGGGAAAAGGCAGATACACCACACACAACACCCAGAGAAGGAAAAAAACGAGAAAAAATAACACACCGTATGTACGCATCTCGAAACACAAAAAAGGTGGCAAGCGCTCACCCGTGACGTCACGCTGGCGTCCCCCTTTTGCGGTCGTTTTTCGTTGTTCGCCAGCAGGCGGTAGAAGGTTAGACCTTTCCCCTCTGGCCTGACGTGACGCAGACACGGCGCGAAGGCACAGCGAGGGGGGTGGGGGTTACGGCATATGACGTTGAACACATGCTTTTATATTTCTTCTTAAAAATAATAAAAAATAATCTCTACCCACAGAAGAGGGTCTAGGAGACATTCTTATCTTCTTCTGCCGCCTCAAGGGCGTTTGCCCACTCTCTCTCACCAATTATGCAGATCGCCTGCCGCAAAACGGAAAACATTCACCGAAAAGACTCCAACCCATATCCCCTGGTTAAGTCTGGAACGGGTAGTCTCGTCTTTCTTTGATTGTTTGTGGTATTATATTTCCCAATAAAAGCAAGCTTGCCAACCAAACGGCACTTATGTGTAACGGTTCTCACCCCCCCAGGGAAGAAGACGATCCGTTACCGGTTTGGCCGCCCCCCTCCAACAGCTCGCCTTCTTGTTTTTGTCCCCCCATCTGAGGCATCCAAACGAGCAGACGGCGTCGTGTTGTCGCTGTTATTGCTTGCGTGTAAGCAAGATCCGAGGAGGTTGACGTTCGTTCGCGCTCCGTTCAGTCTTCGAACACTACTTGCCAGTCAGAGTGTGGATGATGCTGCTACTGCTACTGCTACTGCTGCGGTCGCGTGCGTGTGGGTGATGGACAAAGTCGCGTGCGTGTGGGTGATGGACAAAATCCGAAAGGAAACACTTCCCTCTAGCTAGGAACAACGGCTTGAGAAAAAAAAAAAAAAAGCGGTACAGACGTGCTCGCCGTGTTCCTCCTTCCCCCCACGTGACCTCACAAAATCGCCGACAATCGGACGGACACAAGCGCTGTTGTCAGGTGCTTGGCAACTTCGACCCTGGCTGAAACGACCAGATGCTCACGGCACACGCGAGTTATCAGCGGGAGGCGGCAGATCTATTTAGCGGTTTCATGGACCAACCCACTCGTCACAGGCTCGCTCGCCTGCGGTTGCTTTGTTGGAAAAGCACGCGGCTCATCGTCCACAAGAAAACACACGCCAACGCGACAGCCCTCCGCCCTCACCCCCGCCTCTCAACCTCAGCCAGAAGGCCTGGTCAATGACCTTATGATCGTCATAGTCGTACAACCCCCAAGGAAAAATGATGAAAAACACAAAATATAACGTACCCTTCCTAGCTCCGCCCCTTCCCCCGACGTCTCACCTTTGTAGGGATGCGAGGTCAATGATCCAACGACTACGGCATGCACGGCTATGAGCACCCGCCCGCCCCCCCCCCCCCCGGCGGAACTTGGTGAAACAAGCCCCCCCGTCTTTTCCCCAAGAAAAAGTCCGCAGCTTTCCGCCCCAACCCTCTCGGTTTCGAACAACCGTCATTATCCCCGGGTTCTCGCTCGCGCGCCGTCGACTCATCGCGCTCGCCCCCACCTCCGATCTCGTCTCGTGATCCATTGGCAACGACGCGTTCTCCCCGCCGCCGCCGCCGCCGCGTAAGTCGAAGCAGCTGCTGCTGTGGCCGCTGCTGTCCTCCTCCCCCAGCAGGGTCCCCGTGGAATCGCGATGGTACCCTTCTCCGAAGGCGGCGGCCTCGGAGGAGTGGCACGGCAAGTGCGACAGCCCGATCTTGCAGCTGCCGACGTGATCGTCGCGCTTGAAGGTGTCGTAGTCGCACACGGACACGTGCAGCTGCTGCGCCTCGATGCTGTGCACCCCGAACACGAAGCGCTCGTCCCACACCGGGTCGTTCGTCTTCATACGGACCCGCGTCTCCTTCGACTGCGTGCCCAGCCGCAGCTTCACGTACGGGTCGTTCTTGCCGTTCAGGTCCATGCTCTTCAGGCCGCGCGCGCGCCGCACCGTCACGTGGAGCTGCCCGGGACGGGACGTGGGACGGGATGTGGGACGGGGGCATGGATGCGTTTTCTTTTTAACAACTTTTCTTTTTTCGTACGACAAAACACAGACGATAATCGATCGTCGTGGGGATGAGGCATGGGTATGTTATTTATTTATTTTTTTCTTCCGAAAACCACAACGAACTATAATAATAATTCATTGTCGTGATGGGGCACGGATGCATTTAATCTTTCTTAATCGATTTTGGTTCTATAATAGTATTTTACGAGGCGTGTGCAACATACTTTGAACATGCGTGAATGTGTAGATGCGCCCCGGGAAACTAACGTACGTACTACAAAGCATGAGCACGAGGCAAGTGTGGAAATGAACCTGCCACTCGTGAAAAAAACAAGCAAGCCTGGGATTTCACCAAGAAAACCATAACCTCCAGAAAGGTGCAGCAGTATGTACACATAGAGGCGACAAACCTCCATCGAAAGGCACGACTCACGGGCATAACCCAACACCAATCACACGTGCTCTCGACGTTACATCTCCGGAGAAGAAGAGCGAGAAAAACGCCCTCCACGGCAGGGCCCAACCACGACCACAACAAACATTTTTCTTGCCTTCGCGCTGGCGCCGTGTGTCTATCGTTTCGCACCGCCATAGGGCCTCCCGTGCTCCGCACTGCTGGGGAAATGTCTTAGACGTACAATACCAGAGGCGGACTGCTAGGAGAATCGTCTGGAGGGATCGACAGGCTTAGCTTTGCGCAGCTTCAAAGCGAAAAGAAGTGAGAAAACTTGGGACGTTGGCTTTGAGCAGCTTCGAAGCGAAAAACACCAGAGAGACCTTGGACGTTAACTTTGAGCAGCTTCGAAGGGAAAAGAAGAGAGAAAACTTGGACGTTGGCTTTGAGCAGCTGCGAAGGGAAAAAAAAGAGAAACAATGGACTTTGACTTTGAGCAGCTTCGAAGGAAAAAAAAGCAGCTTCCAAGGGAAAATAAGGGAAAAGAAGCAGCAAAGTGGTCACCTGAAACGGGCTGATGCGGAGCATGTCGAAGCGGTACAGGGAGTGGCCGCCGCGGAACTCGCTCTTCCTCTTGTCCGGCAGAGCGAACTGTCGCACTTGCTGAGCCTTGAGCTCGCGTGAGACTCGGGCGATATACCCATGCTCGATTAGACGCTGCCCCACCTTCAACAAAGACACACAGAGAGAGAGAGAGAGAGAGAGAGAGAGAGAAATAGGGAGGGGAAAAGAGAGAAGGAGATCTTGTTGCGGCGAAACAACTATTGTTGTGCCAGATACGGCATGCCATCTAAGTGCCGTCGTGTAAAAATTGTTATACGCGAGTGGTGTCCTGTACAATACATAGCCTGTAGCCTCGATCATAGGGCAGACCGACACCAACACCACCGACCGCAAAAAACATCATCGACACCCAACCACATCAGAGACCAAAAATAACGAATTTCGATCTCGACAATTCTTGGAACCTGATTCATACTCTCAACAACAAATAAATAAGCGTTACAAGTATGTACGTCGCCAAAGGTTGTACGCTTCTGCAAATACATTCCACCTTGAATCCCAGACTACCAAGCCGCTAACCTCATGACAGACTTTGCCGGAAGCGACCCCCCGAATGAAACGTCTCCCTCGGGGATAGAAAAACCCACGTGCAATAAACTGAGCGCCGGCAAAACAATACGGCTGTATCCCCATTCTCGTACTGTTCCTCCTGCACCAACCGTGTACACAAAGTCGCACAGCTGTACCGCGGAGAAAATGACGGTGTGGACGGGCCAGTCAGCGAGCGCACTACAGGGGGGGGGGGGGGGATTCGCCGTATAATTGTATATGCTGACCTGGATAGCCCCGTCGAGATCGTTGACCCCGTTCTTCGGGTCGGTGATAAGCCACTCCACCGCGTCCTGTTTCAGCAGAGAAAAACGCACGTTATTATGATGGGTTTTGTCACAACCGTTTGGTTTTGCTATTGTAGTAAACACAGACGCTATTATAGCCACGAGAGCTTGACAGCCTCACGCCTCACTTTTCACCGCAATCGCCGATCAATCGGGTCGTAAAACTTAGACTTTACCGCAACGAAACACCGAGCTTGGGAGTTCAGGTAGCTCTTTCATACGGCCTAGCACAATTTTCTCCATCTCCCATCTCCGGTAGTCAATCTGTGACCACGGCAAAAGTCCGCATCAGCTGGACCAGTACGGATATCATAGGGTACGGACCGGAGACCGGAACGGTTGAAGACAACAACATACACCTATATAGCAACAACAATACAGACGTGTCGACAAAGACACTATTTACTGGTACCATTTATCATGTCACGTACAACACCTGGTTTTGTCTGGTTTTATCTAAGACAAGGGAGACCGTAAGAAATCTCCCAACCGCACAGCTCGGAAGTCCCAGGCATTTTTTTCGTAAATTAGACGCTACTTTGTATGCTTGTACTTGTATGCTGCTGCTGTTGCTGCTGCGAAGGTATTATAGCACTTAGGTGACGTGCCGTGATCACCGCCAAGTACATATTGGTGGTATCCATATCGGATGGAACGATTTTGTCACACGCACAGAACCGTAGCTTACCAGCTTACCCTACAAAACATCTCCCGTGCACGCCAACGTAGGTATAACATGACAGCATTCATCCCAACGGTCCACTGACCTCACATCATGTCGGCGGTGGTGTTTCGGTCAGCAGATATGTACATGCAGGGAAACAGCAGTAAGCGGCATGTTGGAAGAGACTGCTGTGTCAACCACTTTTTACGGCACCACGTAACCACGTAACCGTCCCTGGTTGTGCTTGGCCAAGTTACACAGAAGTAGGACACCACTTCCCCTTTCATTTTTGACGCCAAAAAAGTGGCAAGCTCTCTGTTATGATAGACTACTGGTGTGCCGGAAGTGTCGAGCCATCCATGCCGACTTCTGCGCCTCTGTGCACTGCTGTGTACTGGGTTGTAGCACGGTACACTCCAAGCACCGGCCTCCATCAATATTTTTCGGTTTGATGGAATCACGAAGCGCCTCGGTCTCCGGTGGGGTGTGTACGTGTGTACAGACCTTCCTCCGAGTGTACAGCAGTAGATGTGTAAGTAGATATGCATACGATACACGATACACGATACAAATCACAGGATCACCAAAAAGAGCCCTGCAAATACGCGAAACACTGACAGTCTCGCCTGTGGTCTATGTATACAACATATGTATACTGCTATGTACATACGGGAAAGTACAACAGGCTCGGGTTCGTGACACCCCGCGATCAAAGAGTAGTGGACTTCTGCCATGGTCTCCTGGGTTGCACTGGTTGAACAGAGCCAGCCACTGCTATAACCCCGGCCGCCATGCCAGTTTGCTACTACGCTGCCTCTGTGAAGTATTTGTGTTCTGAAGCATCGACTCATATTCTGCACGCATATTTTCGTCGACGTTCACAAAAGTGTCCTCTTGGCACCCCAAAACGGAGCAGCAGTACCTTGGTATGAACTTATGAACATGCACATCCAGCAGCACTCACCATCCCCAGAAATGTGTTGCGGAAAGCACGAAGTAGGTGCTTGTGCGTCTTTATCTCGATGCCCTGGGACATGCGGTGGGCGACCCCTCGCAGCACGTTAGCTTCATCCTGTTCGTCGCTCATGGAGCCCGCCTTCCACCCGGCCGAGCGGATGCTCTCCTCTTGGGAGACCGGGGCGGTGTTGTAGTGGGCTGGACAGAGTGATAGTCTGGTCTGCTCCTGCGGGAGGTACTCCCCGCTGCTGCTGAAACCGTCTTTTACCACCCTTCCATACATACGCTGCTCACGTCCCTTGGAGGCGTGGCCAGACAAAGCCCTCCCGTGTTGTATGACCCGCAGGACGACGTAGAAAAGAAAAAAAGGAGTGCTGCTGAACCAGCGGAGCGGGGAAATACGCGGTGACAACGCTGGACGTGTGCTTTGACCCGTGCTGACCCCACTCTACTGCTGTTGTTGGCGCTGGCGGGGTCTCTCCACGCCCTGCTCCTCACCGACGCACAAAGGGACGCCGGCTTGATGATGTCGGGGAAGGCGGCGTGTGAGAGGCGAGGGAAGGGAGGGAGAGGGCTTGCGAGGAAGGCGGGAGGGAGGTTGTTGTTGTTGTTGTTGTTGTTGTTGTCTTCACATTAAAATCCCGTTCGACTGCTGTGGGTATATCTCGAATGGGTAGTCTTTCTGTGTGTGTTTATATTATTCCTTAATTAAAAACCGTTCCGATCTCTCCGTACCCGTACCTTCATGGGAGCTGCGGGTAAATTTGCGAAGCACGGGTCCACAGAATGGTCGCGGGGGCGACGTGATTTTATTATGCCGTGAACCCCCCCCTCCGACCCTGTCATGGAAATCTACACCACCTACACATGGACATGATAACGTTGGTCATGTAACATGGAATGACGTGGTGGTGCTGCTGTTGCAGGTTGCTGGTTGGCAGAGAACATTCCTTAGCGTGCAAGATTTTGGCGTCACGGAGGTAGAAGAGGGTCGACGCGCTCGGCAGCGGTGACGGCGGCGTGATCACGCATAGCGGCGATGGCAAGATCTATGCTCAGGCTTCTCCCGGCGATCCAACGAGAAAGACAGGACATCTTTTGAACAAAGATCCAAGAAAGCAGTGCGGTGGTTCCCTTTTTCCCCTTCGTCAAAAGGGTCGGGGTGTATTCTCATGTCCCTTGAGCATGTTGATCCCTCAATCTCCTGTTGGAGTGCAGACGGTCTCCTGGAGCAGTTGCAGTGGATATAGGACACAATACACAACTGCATGTTGTTGTGGGCGAAGAAACGACGACACGTACTACAGTACACGTGTTCTCGAGTAAAAACAGCAGAGTCGGGGAGCACGCCGTGGACGATGGTAAATTCATGAAGGAGCGCGAACACAGAGCCAACGCCCACGCAGAAAGGCTACACGCCACGTGGAGAAGGTGCATGCTGCTCTGAGCAGGAACGCTGACGTAGCGGCAGTGGACAAAGTGCCCACGGTGGGTGGACTCCCGAGGTGTTCATTCATTCGCGGATGTATGCATATTGTGTGCCCATGTGCGCATACATCTCAAGATCTGTGTCCGGTACTAGTAAATAGAAAAGAACTGCGAAGGATCTCCGCGATTGTGCGAATAAGTTTGATTACACGTCTTTTATTTCCTCTTGCGCAATCCGCCCCACCTCGAGGCGTTTTATCACAAGAGAAGCGCTGTCTACCGCTCGCTACGGCGTGCACTTTACTCGCATCACACCTCAAGAAACGTGCAGTGCATAGACTACACGCCCAAGACGATGCGCAGCTAGCTATCAATATCCTCGTCCGTGGCCGCGTTGGGTGGTGTCATCGATGTTGCCTAGATTTGTTTGGCCTTTCTTATTCAGTGGACCACTGCACAATGTGCCCGCATCTGAAATGAAGCCGACCGCTATATATATTGCTCAATGCCTCTATGGCAGCTCTCGCGAGGCACACCTCAAACGCGATAGGTAGGCCTCAAAGGAGTACATCGCCTTTCCTCAAACTGGGCAGCGCGTGTAACTCGCCTAAGGAAAACAAATCGCTCGCCCTGAAAATTACGTCAAGCGCGAGTTGCACAACTACAAACCCAAGACATTCCGAAGCAGCAGCAGGCTATGTCATGGAACCAATTTGTACCGACAAATTTCAAATTTCTCCTCTCTAGACTTGGTTGCCGGCTCCGCCTTGACGCCAACAAGAACAACTATTCGAGGAAACAGCAATTGCACCCTGGCGTTGATGATGCAGAGCGTGCAGAGACGCATCTATCTTACCTTGCACCTACCTGTAAAAAATGAGACTCTTGTCGATTTCTTGTCCAGGCCACCGCGCTCCTTCCACAGGATGTATACCACACAGACCCTTCGACCGCGTGAGGTGACGTGCAGGCCACCACAGTGGCACAAATGCCGAGAGGCGCGATTGGAGGTGTTTCATCGAGGAGGGTGGAGTGCTCGTAAGTCTTCTTCGGCGATACGTTCGAACGATGGTGGTCTCGACCACGATTGATTGTGGCGACTGACAATCGCCCGCGTCCACCCTGCCTGGCGATTGTCCGCGTGGAGCTGTTTGGGAGGATTGATTTGGCTCATCCCGCGCAATTATTTGCGAAGCTTCAAACTTTGAACCTTGGGTGTGTGCTTGCCTGCTACCCCGACTTTTACTTCGCTGCGAACGGAGGCGACTTATTTGAAATGTTCCATTCATTCCCCGCCCTTCCCCGCCATGGGATATACGAAGCATATCATGTGGCATTTGGCAGAAACCTGTCAACTGTTGGCATTTAGTGCCCGGTACATGGTCAGCGTACTACCGCGGTGCAGAGATGGTACGGAAGGGAACTCGCGTGACACATGCTGTCAGGATGCGACAGATCGCACGGGGGTGTTGGCGTTATCCAATGCGTGATTGCTCCACAACCAGGAGGGTACCACACTGCCGACAAGGGTGGTTTTGGAAATATCACGTCGAGGGCTTTCCTGGGAGGTGGGCGGTTGGTGTTCGCACCCTCCTGAGTGTGGAGCAATCAAGCTTTGAAAAACGCTAACACCCCCGTGCGTTCTCTCACATTCGTACGGTAGTCAGCCAAGTTGGCAGGTGTGGGCACAGCCAGCTAGATCGCTTGACATGGGTATATACGTACATACATACCGTGCCGGCCCGCTCGAAAGAAACGCCTTTTGGGGCGAGGCCTAACGCCTTATTGTCGAAGCGATGTGTGCCGTATTTCTATCTCACAGTGTTTCTTACATTAATGCATCTGTTTCATGTTTTTCTCGTTTCTTATTTGCCGGTCTGCATGCAAGTATATTGAGGGCCGACTCCTTTGAACGCGAATCTCGCACTACCCACTGTGCTGCTAGAAGAATCTCTGCAAGCACCAATTCATCGGTCGGGAGGGCGGACAAAAATGATTCCGCCCTCCTCGAAATCCAACGGAGCATTGTAACAATCCTCATCTCCGAGAATGTTGCGAACACCGGGGATCCTCACTCTGTCACCCTGCCGGCGTGCTACTGACGGACTCGTTCCAACCGTCGGTCGGCTCAGTCAACGCCTGCGCTCCTACGGCTGCATTCCCCTCGTTTACTGTAGGCTGTACGTTCTGGAGGCGAGCTCACGCTGATGGTGCTTTGGTCGTATGCCACTCCACGCGGCAACCGTACAACTGATTTGCGCGGCAGCCGCCCGACTGATATGCCCCGGGAAACAAGCCCTGGCCGAGGAGACACGCCGACGGCGAGCTCAAGCACGTGCAGCGAGACTCACCGAACGCGAAGGACCTTAGGCTAAGGAACATTTGAGGCGTTTGCTAACATACATTTCCATGCCTGAGATGCCTGGCTGATTCACACGCCCTATCGATCACACGTACGTCTGGACTTGCCTGAATATGATCTACACCGTATATATCTACCGGCCGTACGGAGAAGTGTGGAAGTATCGTCGTGTTTCTACATGCACTGGTTGGAATTGCGAAAGAGCAATCAGGCAGCAAAACGCCGTCTCAGGCAAACGTCTGGTGGAAAGACGTCTCAGGCAGGCAGCGGGTCAGGGGTGCAACCTGAGGGATAAACAAGGCGGCCCTCGGGCAAAAACCTTGGGCATGCCTGATTGGCCAAGGCTTACCCAGGCCGGCACCACCTCGAACCACGCCTCCTCAAGGAAAGCATACAACGCGTATTCAACGCGCTCTCTAGCTTCGCTGGAGAGGACTCCCATACATGTAGAGACGAAAGAAAGCCGTCCGGAAGCTGCATCGCCACACGAACGATGTCCTCTTGGCCTCGAGGTCATCATCTGAGAGCACGCTGTTTCTTCTTCCCACGTCCAACCCCAAAACCCTTCTTTCGTGTAACTGGGAGGGCTGTATTGTTGTGCGATCATTTCTCATTGTCGTCCTCCATCAGAGAAGCTCAATTTTTCTTCTCGCGACAGCAGTTTTCTTACTTTCTCAAAAATGTGAAGCTCAGATTCTAATTATGTATTCCCTGTGTCATGGCATTGGACCGTTGGACTAAGGCACCATCTGGGCAGGTACATCTTGTAGAAATACACCGACTACCTGCCTAGATTAATTAGTGTTCCGAGTTCGGGCGAGCAACGGAACAATTGTTGCTTTTGTGGCCGCAGCGGCAAGCGGTGTACCTGGTGCATATGACGTTCGTTCCCCTTTTTGCTCAGTGTTCCCTGATGGGAATGAGCGATAGCGAGCGAATGAGAGAGACAAGGAGGGATAAAGTAAGGAATCGGACTGAAACGGGGCAGCTACCCTGCACCTACAGTAGTGGTCGGATATATATAGTCTACGCTCCACAGTGCACCTCGTCACACATGATTCGATAAAAAAACCGGTGTTGTTTGATTTGCACTGCTGCTGCGGCTGCTGCTGCCTCTGACAATAATTAGTGTTCTCGAAGTGCTCGATCCATAAACTCCACGTCGTGTTCAGCACTGAAATGCATATTCCACTAGAAGTATATTTGCAAGGGTATCCAGGAATCGACCATTGGCCGCCATAGAGTTTTTTTTCGCGAGCGTTCGGCATTTTTCTGCCAATAAACAAGAACTACAGCAGCAGTATAGATATACAGCAGTGTGGTGCCCATACCCTACGTATGTATCTTCTCCGTGTGTAAAATGATGTAGTCACACACGCTTTTCGCGGCAACTCGATGATGGTCAACAAGCCGTGTTGGGTGTAAAGTGTTCCGCGGTTTGTAATGACTTCCTGAGAAGCAGCAAGAATACGCCTGCTTGGTGCGCGAAACGCTGTTCGATGCATGCAGCTACGAGCAAACTGTCTTGTACAACTACAACTGATGGCATTATTGAAGTGGTGCGTTGCCAAGACAAACAACCACACGGCGAGGAGTCGCACACAGCAGTCATCCGTGCTCATCTCGTTTTACGCAACACCCATCGTTTTGGAGGTCAGCATATTCTCTTGCGGGCGAAGGTATCTGGCGATACCATTTTGTGTCTGTATAAAGTATGCGTACTCCTCCGCCAAAGTGGAGAACCACAACCACCACGTGGTCGGTCGACCCGCTCATCAACTCGACGCGTTCCGACCGGGAACATCATGATGCATGTGAGTGGTTCTTATGCATACAAAAACGAAACAGCTTCAACGTCGCAGTATCGATGCAGCAGCGGCAGTGGACATAAGGATCTGTGCCCGACATGCATGAAAGCACACACAAGCTTATATGTGGCCGCGAGCGTAAGCGACAGCAGCAGCTGAGAGACACACCGCCGCGTAAACCTCGGTGGCCGGGGATGCGGGGGGATTGTAGCCGCCACCAGCAACGGCCACCACCGAGGTTTATCCCCCGCAACCCCGAATCGTTCGGAAGGCGTTATTTTGATGCAGCCCGACGAAATCTTGGGCTGGTCCAAAAACGGTTGATCAACCTGTTCTCCCTCACTCCACGCCATAACAAGCCACCACCGGTAGATCAAACCAGCCGCTGCTAGCACCAACAACACCCACCACCGCAACAACAACAACAACACCCCTTCTCCTTTTAGCAAGCACCGAACACCATGGCGGACCAACTGACCGAGGAGCAAATCGCTGAGTTCAAGGAAGCCTTTAGCCTCTTCGACAAGGACGGCGACGGCACCATCACGACCAAGGAGCTCGGTACGGTCATGCGTTCGCTGGGGCAAAACCCCACCGAAGCCGAGCTTGCAGACATGATCAACGAGGTGGACGCGGATGGAAACGGAACTATCGACTTCCCTGAGTTCTTGACCATGATGGCACGGAAGATGAAGGACACGGACTCCGAGGTGAGACAGAAAAAGTAGAGGGCCGGATCATCTGCTGATGATGATCTAAACCTGTCTTTTTGTGTGTGGGTGCCGCAGCCTTCGACTGGTGTCCTCTCCTCCATCTCCTAAAACGTCTTGGTTTCAGAGTACCGCAGATGCGGTCGGGTAGCTTGTTTCGTTTGGCCTGCTTAGGGATGAAAGCTGACACACCAACCAGCAGCAGCAGCAGCAGCGTCAGAGCGTGCACACAAGAAAAACAGCGAGGGGCGTGTAACCCCCACTGGATCCAGTGGAGTATCAGTCTGATGTCGTGAATCGCTTTGGAACGCGCGTTCTGTGAAGTTCCAATTTTCGAACGCGGCGGGTGTTGGCCGCGCGACAGCAGACAACAAAGATATTTTCGATTTTGATTTTCGCCGCGTGAGTTTCCTGCTGCTTCCTCACTCAACACCTACATACACAATCATTTGTTCGAGTGCAACGGCCGGCGGGGTACCCCGAAGCCGCCGCTGCCCGCGCGCGAGGTGATTGGCTCTGCCGGTGGGACCGGGTCTGCGGCTCTCGCTGTAGATAGGACCACCACCTTTTTTTTGGGCGACACACACGCCCGTCGGCAGAAGTTAACCGTTTCTTTTTCTCGTCTGGTCTCATCGGGGGGGTATCTACAATTTTCGAGAGCCCCGTTCCGAGGAGACCGGTGCCTCTCTACTCTATCTCACCGCCCGTAGGGTACGTTGCTGCTGACTGGCTTCATCTGTCCGACCAAAGCACACGCCCCATAATTCTAGTGTATCCCTCCCCCCACGACGTCTGTGTCTCGGGTGGATACGTCGTCAAAAGCAACACGTACGCCACCGCCCGTTTGTTGTTTATTCGTTCTCTCTTCCTGTGTACACACCACCTTCTTCTTCTTCTGCATTACCACCCCCCCCCCCCCCCCCCGAAAAGAAGAATTTGGGGCCAGGGGTTTGGGGATTGCGAAACCTCGCTAACGGTTTTAAAAGTAAAAAAGAATTGAAGGGGGGGAAGTTCCCAAGGCGGCCCCAAAAAAAGGAAGGCAAAATCCCGGTTGGAAGAAGAAAAAAAAAATGGCCCTGAAAAACCGGGGGGGGGGGGGGGGGGTTGGTGGGCCTAAAAAATTGAAATTTTTTTTAAAAAAACGAAAAGGGGTTTTCTTTTTTTTTTTTTTTGAAAGGGTTTGTCCAACTGGTTAAGGTGAAAAATAACAACCCGGGGGGGGGGTGGCTGGAGTTTTGTGAAAAAAAAAAATTTTTCAGGTTGGGGCAACAACGGAAAAAAAAATGGTTGGAAATGTGCCCGCCGCCCGGGTGGGGGGGGAAGGGGGGGGGGGGGGGGCCCAAAAACCCGAACGTTGGTTTATTCCAATTTTCG